TAACACAAATCCAATTATGTTCCGAGCGCAGGAATCATTTATAAAAAGCCTTCCCCCCACCTGCTCATGAATGATGTGCCCACGAGAGAGGTCTATGTAATGGATGGTCAGTGCATTTTATTTAATCAGCACGGTACAAAAATAAATAAAAATAAGGGAAGGGGCATTAAATTACAGCCAAACTGAGCTTCATGACCTTGTCAGATTATAAACCACACATACTTACAAACACACTACACATACATACAAAATGAGACAAATATAAATTAATATTAACAATACCCACAGTTTGGTCCAAGAATAGCTACAGAAGGAACTGCACTAAAAAACCAACACACATCGCACGCTGTGTAATTAGCAGTTTCAAATATACAGCTATGAAAAATCCCGAGTGGAAAAAATGGCACGTTTTCTCTTCATTGCAAGTCGAACAACCGTCGGAAGGAAACTAACTCCTAGTCACCGCACGGAGAGAACAGCTTTACAAGGAGAAAACCCGAGTCCCGAACGATTATTCCTGCGGCTTGTTCAGTGCACGGGTGTAAATTTCACAGCCATCTGTTCTAAGGTTATTTTTCTTAAGACACAAAATGCTCCTGGTCTGCATGCACAATATCACTGTAAAAGCAACAGTTAAATAAAGGGGTTTGTGGGGGGGGGGTTTGTTGTCGGTTAGTTTTTTTTCCCTTTTTTAAATTTTTTTTGATGTTCTAAAAGTAGTCTTCATAGCAGCATGTCAAATGGGTCCATTGCTTGCACACTCAAGTGTATCTGTTCCTTTACACAATACTGATGACCAGTGCGAGGGGAGGGAGGAGGCGCGACAGGCTTCACATGGATGGAACCGGAGTTATTTCCTTGGTCCCCAACCACTCCCGAAATGTGCACCTCCTCCAAAAAGTAATGAAAAAAATAAATATGGAGAAAGGGAAGGAAACACACAAAACTGGAATCCTGTGGACGTGACGTAACTGCACAGTTTCAGGCCAAGTCCGGCCAGCCGAACGAGTGACTGCAAACACGTGCCCCTCCTCTTGGGACTCGGCATCGGACCCCCCTCTTCCACGCCGCCGGGGCCGCTGTCCCCGGGGGACTCCTACCTCAGGTCACACGTGGCAGCAGGATCTGGACACACAGGCCTCGCGGCAACTCCCGCAGAGAAGAGGCGCTGGGGCGAAGTCTGTGCCAGCAGCCAGCCGCAGGTCCCCCCAGCTCTGCCTCCGACGGCCAGGCAGCCCCGGGAATGGCTCGGCGTGGGCTTCGAGGCGCAGCTGGGGCAAATGCTCTCCCGCACACACGGGCAGGCCTCTTCCTCATAGGCGGGCTCTGCCCCAGGCCTCTTAAACCCGCACGGCAACTTCACAGCTTGTTCTTTTTAACGTGAATTTCAGTAGTGCTTGTGCTGAAATCGGCAGCCACCTGGGACCTAATCCTATGTAAAATGACCCTCTGCCTCTCCCCCCACCCCAGCCCCCCTACTCCAGCACTCCCTGGGGGGGCTGGGAAGAGAGAATTTTCCGTAGCCTTCACACTGGTCTTTGTTCCCCAAAGCCGGAGTGATGGGCCATGGAGCAAGACTCGGTCCCTTCTCTCGGTCATCTCCCAAGTCCCAAGCCACCAATCTGGGAGAATCAGAAAGAAAATGGATTAAGTACACATCATGTGTTTTTACAGCCACTAAAGTGGAACCAGCAGCTGCAAGTGATCAGTTGTAGAATCAGCAGGCTTCCAAAGCCATCAGAGGAGTCCTACTCGCGGCTCGTAATTGTCTCCACGATCCAGCTGTCTCCCTGGGCCTTGTGGGGCAAGGCTTTGTCTTCTGAACAAACTGAACTGTTTGGAAACAGCTTTAAATTAAAAGGGGTAGGGGTGGAGGTGGGGGGTACATCCTTACCACACCCCACCCTCCAGCTCTGCAGAAAAAAAATACCATGTGCACCCGCAAGAGGAGGCCTGCTCGGTCTCAGGCACGGCACCCCCACCTGCCCAGGAGGCAGGCTGTTGATACTGGGCACCTGCAGCTGTCCTGGCCGCCACCACAGGGCGACTAAGCTGCATTATCCAAATGAAACACTCACCCGGGAAAGGAGCTGTCCCCAGCTTCACCCCACCCCTTTAGCTGGGACCCAAAATAAAAGAACTTAACGAGTCAAACCAGCTCATTAACCAACAGTGCCAACCCGGCTGGGAGCAGAGGACAAGGGGACCGAGGGGCAAGTTCTGCGCCTCCACTAAAGGAAAGCCCTGCTCCCTAAAAAAGAAAAAAGAGAAAACCAGGGTTGTGCGAGGCCAAACAACAGGACACAACCTCTGTCCCAGGCTGGCTTCTGCTCGACCGAAACGGCATCGCGCCTCACAACCCCACGTGCGGCTCCGTCGGGGTGGCTGCTGCAGGAGCCTCTGGGAGAATGGACAACCCAAAACGGGAGCCAGAAAAGCCCCCCACACACCCCCAACCAGCAGCGCCAACTCCTCCCTGGGTCAACTGGCCAGAGGCCCCGCTCCAGCTCCCGGGCAGGGCGCAACAGCCAGCCTCACCTGCCCCGTCCAGCAAGGGCACAGGCGACAGAGGCAAGCGGGTCCTCTGAATTCCCCAAAGCAGACGGTCGGGGGCCCCGGGGGCTCTGAATACATCTTCTGGGTTTTGCACAAGGTTCAGTTCAAGCGTCCAGAGTTCTTGGCAGGGCTGAAGAGAGCCCCCAGGAGAGAAGGTGGGCCCGGAGAGGCCCTTGGTGGCTTGGCTAGACACATACTGTACATAAAATCTGATTTGTTTCACAACACATTTGTTTAAAAAAATGAATCCTCGGGCCGGGCTGCGGGCCGCAGGGCTCACCGATCCAGCCCCAGCAGGAGCCGCTTCTTGTCTTCCTGGCCGCTCTCGCTCTTCAGGTCGGAGAACACCTGCGTGAAGTAGTGCGGGTCGGCGTTGATCTGCAGCATCTTGGAGCTCATGAGGTTGATGACGGAGAGGCAGCGGTCCCAAAAGGCCTCCTTGCAGCTCTCCACCAGGAAGGGCTTCAGCGGGTAGGAGATCTCGTTGCCCATGTAGGAGTAGGAGAGGTACAGGCAGGTCAGCAGCACGGCCTGCAGCTCGTGGTCGGAGCCCACCTCGGAGGAGATCACGTCCCTGCAGAGCATGTAGAGGAAGACCACGTTGGCCGGCGTGATGAAGCCCTGGTCCTGCCAGCCCTGCAGCAGCAGCGAGCGGTCCACGCTGCGCAGCCAGAGCACGGGGTCCGTGGGCGACAGGTGCTTCAGGCGGTAGCACCGGCGGCACAGGAACTCGCCCAGGCAGCGCAGCAGCTCGCTGGTGGACGCCTGGACGATGACCCGCTTGGGCGTCCCCGCCGAGGGCGCGGCGGGGTGCGGGGCCTTCTTGACGGAGGAGGAGACCCCGGTCTGCGAGCCCGAGAGCTGGCTGGCGGGGGGCGCGGGCGGCTGGGCCGGCGGGGGCTGGGCGAACGTGGACAGGTTGGCGCACGACAGCGACTTCTTCAGGTTCTCATTGTTGAGGTGCGTGATGTTGCTCTGGTAGCCGCCGTTGGGCTGCACCTTCTTGGAGTTCTTCTTCTTGGCCGACACGGCCACGATCCTCTTCCAGGGCAGCACGGAGATGATGGAGTGCCGCTTCAGGCTCTTGTCCTTGGCGTTCTTGCTGTTCTGCACGGCCGTGTAGTGGCCCACCGTGGCCGCGCCATCCTCGAACAGCGTGGCCTTGCGGTAGCTGGGGGACAGGGACAGCACGGTGCCCATGGTGCCGCTGCGCGCCGGGCGGGGGCCCGCGCCCCTGCGCGCCC